GTTACGGGGGTGGGGGCGTTGGGGGATTGCTGCTCCTCCGCCTCCTCCTCCTCCTGCTCCCCCTGCTCCTCCTCTTCCTCCTCCTCCTCCTCCTACTCCTCCTCCTCCTCCTCTTCCTCAGCGGGCGGTCGGCGGAAGAAGAGGAGGTTCCAATGCTGTCAAGGGGGGGGAGAGGCCGTTTCGGAAGCTCGCCGACGGTTGTGGACCTCTTTCGCTCCATGGGCCCAGGAGGGCGGGAACATCCGGGACCAGGCGGGAGCATCTGGATCGTTACTCCCTGAAATTACGGCCGGAGGCTTTAGTTGGCAGTGGCCATTTCCTTTTCAGAGGTCGTTTGGGTCCTGAATTTCGCATCCTCCTCATCATCATCCTCCTTCTCCTGTTTATCTCTCTCTGTCTCTCGTTCTTTCTCTCTCTATATATATACACATACATATACCCACATCTATATATATATATATATATGTGTATGTACATACATACATACATACATACATACATACATACATACATACATACATACATAAATACATACATACATACATACATACATACATACATACATACATACATACATACATACATACACATGTATTGCTATGTTGTTATAGATGCACATGTATATACACACATCGGATTTACAAAGGCTTCGTCATGAAATGAAGTTCAAGCATCTTGCGTTGGCAGGGCAGGATCCCGCCCAGAGGGACTTCTAACATCATGTGGTTTTACGTCGGGGTTGCAATATACCCCGCTTATCTATAGTACCAGATAATGAGAGGAAGTCCCAGATTCATAACTCCCAGATGTTTGACCCGACCTCTCTTGACCCAGCCCGCTAGGATTCTACGGGGAGGGGGGGGGCAGCCTAGCGCGGTCGGAACAGGGGTCAGCCGCCGCCCGCCCGCTCACGCGGAAGTAGCTGGCGAAATGTGCATCATCTTGAGGCTCCCATAAAACGTGGGCAATTGTTGCAATGGCGTATTATACCTGTCTGCATGTGTATATATATATGTATATACAGACATGCATACAGATGCAGCACCCCGCAATTGCGGATAAGAGTGAGGGGGCAGGCGCGGGGTGGGTGGCGGGGGAGTCGCGGGCGGGTCGCGGGTGGGTCGCCGGGTGGGTCGCGGGTGGGTCGCGGGTGGGTCGCAGGTGGGTCGCGGGTGGGTCGCGGGTGAGTCGGGGTTGGATCGCGGGTGGGTCGTTGGTGAGTCGCGGGCTTGCTCGCGAGTGGGACGACGGCATCAAACAAAGAAAAAATAGTTCAAGATTGTTCGTTTTTATTTGGGTCGCGAGCCGTTCAACTCGTAAATCCGAAACCCTCGATACGCGCCTTCTTCGTCTTAAATCGAGCCATTTCTGAAGGTAAGTATACTCCCCCTACCTGCCACGTAGAATTGGCGCGACCTCAAAAACAGGGGAAGGGAAGACGGATGGAAGGGGGAGGGCGAAGGATGGAGCACGAGAGAGATCAGCAAGAGAGGGGTTCGGAACGGAAAACACGGCAGAACCAGACAGGCTGATCGGGCGGTAGACCCTAACGGGCGGGTCGGGAGGGCGGGCACGGGCGGCCAGGTCGAGCAGGCGGTTTGTTGAAGCATGAATCGCGAGGAAGTCTCAAGCGATAGCGCGATTCCTTTGCTCATAGAAAAGCCAAAGCGAGAGCACCTTTTTCCTGAGCGTCGAGGGCGCGGCGTCTGAATACATTGCGATGAAATCCTGCGCGAGAGCGAGGTTCCTTCATAAATTGTGAGAAAGTCCCGCGCCAAAGCGCGACGTTGAAATAAGCGGTCGGGAAATATCACGCGGGAGCTGCTGCTGCTGTAAGACAGGGCCAACAATCGAATTGGAGTAGGAAAACTTGCATTTGCCCTTGCAACATATTTGTCCCAACCATGCTGTGGTGTTGGGTCCTCGTTCTGAAGAGACGGCGCCCCGCGTTCCCCTCCTCCCGCTTCCTTCCTCCCTCCTACTTCCCCTCCTCCTTACTCCCCCTCCTGGCAGCCTCGGGCCATTTCGGCACACCCTTTACGAGGACATAGGGAGCTCCACCGAAGGTGCCAGTGGCAGGGTTCGCATGGCGGCCTCGGGCAATTCTGGCACACCCCATCACGAGGATCATGGCCCCATAGGAGCTCCACCGAAGGCCCCAGTGGCAGGGCTCGCATGGCGGCCTTGGGCCATTTCGGCACACCCCTCACGATGATCGTGGCCACATAGGGAGCTCCACCGAAGGCGCCAGTGACAGCGTTCGCACGGCGGCTTTGGGCCAGTTCGGCACACCCCTCACGAGGTCCGTGGTCTCATAGGAGTTCCACCGAAGGCGCCAGTAGCAGGGTTCGCACGGCGGCCTCGGGTCATTTCGGCACACCCCTCACGAGGACCGTGGCCCCACATGGAGCTCCACCGAAGGCGCCGACGGCAGGGTTCGCATGGCGGCCGCGGGCCATTTCGGCACACCCCTCACGAGGATCGTGCCCACATAGGAGCTCCACCGACGGCGCCAGTAGCAGTGTTCGCATGGCGGCCTCGGGCCATTTCGGCACACCCTTTTCACAAAGATCGCGGCCCCCATAGGGCACCCTACCGAAAGCCCCCGTGACAGGGTTCGCATGGCGGCCTCGGGCAATTTCGGCACACCCCTCACGAGGACCGTGGCCCCCTAGGGAGCTCCACCGAAGGCGCCAGTAGCAGGGTTCGCATGGGGGCCGCGGGCCATTTCGGCACACCCCTCACGAGGATCGCGGCCCCATATGAGCTCCACCGAAGGCGCCGACGGCAGGGTTCGCATGGCGGCCCCGGGTCATTTCGGCACACCCCTCAAGAGGATCGTGGCACCATGAGGAATTCTACCGACTGCCCCAGTGGCAGGGTTGCATGGCGGCTTCGGGCCATTCGGCGCATTCCTCACGAGGATCGTCGAGGATCGTGGCCCCATAAGAGCTCTACCGAAGGCGCCACGAGCAGGGTTCACATGGCGGCCTCAGGCCAACTCAGCACACCCCTCACGAGGATCGTGGCCCCATATGAGCTCCACCGAAGGCGCCAGTGGCAGCCCCCCTCATGGCTTTCAAAGCCCTCTCTTGCTGCTCCTCGGTCAGAGCCACGCACCGAGGGACAGTGAATGACCTTTCGGCCTCCTCACTCTGCTACATGTATATATGCTTCTCCTTTCCACCTGTTCCTCCAAATATGATGCTCTGTCGCCGTTTGGCCCCAACACCGGCGCGTTCAAGCCATACGTGAGAAAGGAAAGAGCCCGCTGGCATTTCTACGCGCTATCATGTCAACCTTCTCGTTGCCACCAAACCGCGCAATTCTAGTTGATAGCGGAGCTGAGAGCGGTCCCAGCTCGCGATCCACGAAAGACGCGCAGAGCGTGGAGTGGACGCACATTCGCACTTCCTTCACCTTCCTCATTGGCACCACCCGCGACTCCCTGAACATCCCGCGCTGGTGGTTGCTCTGCAAACCCGCGGGCAACTCCCCCAGACAATCACAGGCACGGCGAGGCGAACGCCAGACCGCGTGAGTCCCTGTGAGGGCCTGGCTGTGAGGGCGTCAGAAGCTGTCGGCTACGCGCATGCGAGCATCCGCCCACGCAAGCGCCACGACGCCTACGACGCCTCCCTGGCCACCCCGCAACCGCAGTCAGGACCTGACCCATCTCCATTGCAGCCCGTCGCCGAGGGCCCCCGGCAGATGCCTGAGTCCATCCACGGCTCACGGTCGGCGGCTTCATTGACCGCCGCGCCCAGATCCACGCGCGCACAGACACGCCCGTCATCCTACCTGCCCCACAGATGTTCAACATTGCCGCGCCGCCCTTAGGACAACAATTTCCTGCGCTGCCACCGTTCCCCGGCGCCGCCTCCGCAGCCTCGGAACTGGCCGCATCTTTTGACCAAGCACGCCCGACACCTTACACCGCTCTTCGGACGACCGCTCTATGGGACCCCCGCGAAGTCACCAACTTCGGTCAACAGCACAGCGCGGGAAAGCTTCCATTCACCGGATAGGACAACCCGCGAACCCCCACGACACTCGAGCCACCTTCCCACGCATCAGCGGCGTTCGGCCAGCCGGCCCGACTTCAAGAAGGCCAGCTTGGACAGGCCACCGAGCCTGACAGGCCTCAACGCCGCGGCTACGCGCACCTCACCGAGGCACCCACCCCGGCAGGCAGAATTAACATCGCGCACGACCTAGCCCCTGAGATTTACGGCACGACCATTTGCGTCGGCTACTCTCGAGACCAGACGCGACGATCAGATGGAACAGCGCTGCGCTCACCGCCGCGACGAGGCCCAGCACGGGATCTGTTTTGCCATGAGTGGTCCGCCAGCACCGGGACCACCGCCCCTGCCTGAAGACATACGAACCGAGGCGAAAATCGTTGGCATAGAGGTGGATACCGCACGCCAACTTGGACCTGTGCGTTATCTCTCCTATGTGATATCTTTCAGTATGGACCTCGTTTTCACCAGAGCTGCCCCGGCGCCTAAGCCGCCACGAGTCGCGACAATCTTTAGCCCAGGGCCGTCGAGGCCTAATTGCAAGGCGACCAGACGCAAGCACCCTTCTCGCAATGTCCAGCGCGCAGATAGCAACTGGTGGTGCGAGAGGTCATGCACCCCCCCACGTTGCCACTTATCCAGCGATTTGCCTGGACTACTGGGCTCGCGAGGCACGGAGCCAGCGCGCGCGATCCCGAACATAGAAAGTCGCGAGCTGGCCCTCTCAGGGTGCGGCGACATCCTGATCCATTGGCCAGCAGGCACATCCCGCGCCCCTATGCATCAGGCGCGAAGTGGACAGCCGGCCACGGTCATCGACGACTTCGACGGCGGCGCAGGCACCGGGCGGAATTCCACACCGCAGCGCGCAGCTGCACGCCGACACCGACGAGGCGGAGACCATCACGCACCGCACATGCTTCAGCGAACGAATGCGCATCATCCGCTGCACGAGCTATTGCGCAGCATGGTTGT